GCTCCCATGGGTGATGTACACGCCACAATCCCTTCTCCTCCATTTCCTCCTTTCGAGATTCTGGGCATGCATGCACATGCACTTAGCAGTTTGTTAAGCTGCTGGGTCTGAGAACCTCATAGCTGGTTTTTTAAGCTGCTGGGTCTGAGAACCTCATAGCTGGCCATGTGGAGTCCAGTTGTCTTAACTACCATACTGTAGGTCGGCCCCTGAAGTCCTATCTTTGTGTGTGTGTGCGCGCATTTTTATTCTTTTTTTTTCTTTTTTTACATTTAATCACTGTACCATCTATTTTTTTGTTGTTGTTGAGGTTTTTGCTATAGGGCGCATGTGTTCGCGAGGCTGACAGAGAGACAGAGAGACAGAAAGGGAGAAATCATCCCCCAGGAGGGATGGCCACGCCACAATCCCTTCTCCTCCATTCTCCTCTCGGGATCTTGGGCACACACGCACACGCGCCCAGTGTGAGTTTTAAGCGACCGGGTCCGGGACACGAACTGTGGTCGACTACGTGGGAGTCCAGCGACATAGCCATTACGCTAACTGCTGGTCCCAATCACTGTACATCTTTACAGCATACAAAATGGGTTTTCCCAGCATGAATACATTGTGTATCAGTCCAGAGATATTACTATATACATTATCATCACCAGATAATTTTCCATTTTTGTGTTCATTAAATGATTTTGCTTCATTTTTTCCCCCTTGATTCCCTCTCTCCCACCACCATAGTATATCCTCCTCCCACACTGTCTCTTCTATCTATAGTTGCTCTCTGTGTCTTTATACCTCCCCAACTTTGTTTCTCTCATACTGTGCAGACATTTGGTATATATGAAGTGGGGACATATAATATTTCTCTTTCATATTCTGGCTTGGTACACTTAGTATTAAATCTTCCATATGCATCCACTTTTGATCAAATGCCAGGGTCTCATTGTTTTCTATGGTGAGCAATATTTCATAGTCTACATGGGACACACTTTTCAATCCATTCATCTGTCCTGGAACTTTTGGATTTATTCCATGGTTTAGCAATTGTGTATAATGCTGCAATAAACATGGATGTGCAAGTACTTTTTTAACTGAGTGTATACCTATCCTTTGGGTAGGTATCTAGGAATAGAATTACTGGATCATAAGGTTTGTAGGTTTTTGAGAAATCTCCACATTGTTCTCTACAAAGGCTGTACTAATTTACATTCCCACCAACAATGTAGGAGAGTTCCCTCTTCACTGTAGTCTTGCTAGCACTTATTATTCTTTCTTTCTTTTTTTCTTTATTATTATTATTTTTTGGAGGGGTTTTTGCTATAGGGCATGTGCGCTCATGAGACAGACAGAGAGACAGAGAGACAGAAAGCGAGAAATTACCCCCCAGGGGGGATGGCCATGCCGCAATCCCTTCTCCTCCATTCTCCTCTCGGGATCTTGGGCACGCACGCACACGCGCCCGGCATGAGTTTTAAGCCACCGGGTCCGGGACGTGAACCGCGGTTGACTATGTGGGAGTCCAGCGACATAGCCATTACGCTAACTGCTGGTCCCTCTTTATTTTTTTCTTGAGAGATTTTTGCTACAGAGTATATGCAATCGCTCAAGACAGAAAGAGACAGAAAGGTAAAAATCACTCCCCATTGGGATGATAGCCATGCTACAATTCCTTCTCCATTGTCTTCTCTGGTTTTAGGGAATACACTCATAGACACCCACTATGAGTTCCAAGTCACTGGGTCTGAGACCTGAACCACAGTCAATCATGTGGGAGTCCAGCACCCTAACCACTACATTATTTCTCAGCCCTATTCTTTATTTTTTTAACCTTAGCCATTCTGACTGGGGTTAGATGATATCTTGTTGTGGTTTTGATCTGTCTCCCTTATGATAAGGGATGTAGAGAATTTTCTCATATGCTTTTGTGCTGTTTGTATGTCTTTCTTGGAGAGTTGACTGTTCAGCTTGTTTTCCCATCTTTATTGGATTGAATATTTTTTTGGGGGGTAAGCTGCTTAAGTTCCCCGCATATTCTGGTTATCAGGCACAGTTTGCAAATATATTTTCCCATTCTCAAGATTGTCTCTTCCTAAAGTATTTCCTTAATTAACACTTTAAGGTTCCCCAAAGACTATGGATGTGGGGATGTTATTAAATATGCTTTAATTTTATCCAGGCTTTTAAATTTCTCCCTAGCATCACTGCCTAAAATGAACCTGGGAGTTACCCACAGCTTAGTTATTAATTACAGTGGTATTCCTAGTTAAAAATAAAGTGCTGGGTTGGTGGTATTAAGAGATAGCTGAGCAGGTTTAAACTGAAAATACAAAAACTGTCTTTAAAATCTAGACATAAACATTATCATTCCTAAATAACATATAAGTAGAGAAACTGACTCCACTATTTAACCACAGTGACAATAAGGGAAACAGGCTTTTGGGCCTGAGGAGTAGACACAATTTAACTGGGTAGCATAGGAGAAAGGGAGGATTAAAAAAATTAAGACAGAAACTACAATGAGTGATCTCCTCTACTTCCAGTCTCAATAACAAAACTAGGGGGCATAGATTAAACCAATATATCCATGCTCTAAACTAACTACAGAAAACCAGCCAATGACTGCAAAACAAATGTGATCTAGAGCAGTGGTTCTCAACTCCAGGTTCTGATTGAACTGATTTAGAGGAGACCTAGGGTACTCGTAGGATGTAGAAGTTTCCCAGGTGTTCAGATGTGAGCCAGGGATGAAAACTACAATCTGGTTAATATCCAGAGCAAGGAAAACAGGAACCCTAGAGACTTAAAGAAGTTGGTATACAACTAAATAATATTTTATATGAAATGATTGACCAGATGAAGAAGTGGCAAATTTATCTCAAAGTAAAACTAGTCAGTTGAGGATAAACAACTGTGAACTATAAGTTACACGAGAAAAAAGCAGAAGAAAATGGGCACAGAAACATAGTTAAGAAAAGTTTAGGTCAAAACATTTTTTAGTGAACAGAAACAAAAATATACAGTTGTCCTTTAGTATCCAAGAGGGATTTAGTTTCAGGATTTCCTCCCATCTCCCCCATACCAAAATCAACACACGCTCTAGTTTCTTATATAAAAAGGCATAATATTTGTATGTAGCCTATGCAAGGCCTCCTGTCTACTGTAAATCATCTCTAGGTTACTTATGATGCCTAATGCAATGTAAGTGCTATGTGAAAAGCTGTTATGCTGTACTGTTATTTATTTGTATTATCTTTTATTGTTATTTTCCCAATACTTTCAATCTATAGATATGTTCACACCTTAAAAGAAAAAGTGGGAGTTACGCTGATTTTTAATATGTGCACACAGATGTATATCTGGTATTTCACTAGATAAGGGCTTTGGGATGTTCTTAGTGGACAGAGATAGAAACAGCGGCTTGGTGGGAAGAGCCCATTACTGGTCTCCTACATCATCTAG